GCCCCCTCCCGGGTCTGCCGTTCCCCGTCCTCCCTTTACTCCTCCCTTTCAGATCTGACACTTCCCCCCCCCCTCCTCCCTGCTCTCAAACCCAGGCTCCCCCCACACGCCCCGCGCTGGCCCCCCTTTCGGAGGAAGAAAGAACAAACAAAACAGGAGATTAAATTCGCTTTCTACTCAAGAGCCCCCAGCGCCAGGGGCACGGAGTTGCCCAAAGTAAATCAGGAGGAATCCACCCTCCCTCCAGCCCCCTTTACCATTCCCAGGCCACAAATATCGCTCCTTTGCCCAGATAAGGGAAGTACCAGGAGCATTTACCCCCTACCCAGCACCTGCCTCCTCTTTTCTGGGGCAGGTGCAGGAGGCTTTGTCCACATAGAGAGGAGACACTTGGGGGTCCTGTGGAAGGCACCAGAGCCCAAACTGTCTCCCCTTGGCTGGCAGAAAGGGGATTCAAGGCTGGGGTGCAGTCTTTCCTACCAGAGATAGGAGGTATCTGCCGGGGTCTGAGCAATAGCCCCTCAGCTATTGAGGGTGCAAACACCATTGCAGGTGTGAGAAGGGAAGAGCTGCCCTCCAGTTTCCCAGGCCTGCTCCAACCCCACCAGCCCAGGAGAGGAGGACTCCCCAGAGAGCACAGCATCCACCAGACCTCCCTAGCACACCCAGATCGAGCAGGATGGCAGCAGGAGGGGTGGGAGGCCCAGGCTGGGAATGCTAACTATGTGGAGACATGCTCTACCTGCAGCTCCCCCTGCACCTGGCCCCAGGGCTGAGGAATGGCAGCAGGCTCCTGACCAGCCCGGAGGGGAAGGAGGATCCCCTGCCCTGGAAGACCTTGCTGCAGGATGCCCGGAGGAGAAGGCAGGGTGTGGTGGGAGGAGGCCACCACCGGCAGCAGGCACAGGGATTAGGATGCTTGCTGTCTGCACAGCAATTTAGATGAAATGTGCATGGTCCCCCACCTCATAACCCAAGGGAGAACTCCAGTAGCAAGACTCAGCCTGCCTCTCAAAGACTCAGCAGCGCCTGCAAAGGCAGCCCCCGAGCCCCGGGGCAGCAGCAGGCTGGGCCTCCACCCAGGCAGCACAGAAATCACTGCCCTGGGAGACATACTCGTCTCCTGCTCAGGCAACTCTTGCTTGCCCTTGCAGAGCTCCATTACAACAGGCAATCACTCCTCAACAGCACCTTTCTACCCAGCACAGCCCCAGCAGGGAGAAGAAATCCCCAGCCCACTTCACTGCTCCTCTGAGCCAGCAGCTCCCCAGAGCAGAAGTCCTCCCTTTGCTCCCCTTGCCTAGCCCAGAGGCACATGGATAGAGCTTTGCCCCTGGGACCATCCCATCCCTGCCCCGTGGTATCCATCATGTAACTGTGCTCCAGCTGAGGCATCAGCTGCACAGGGCTTACCCACGCTCCAGGGAGAAGCCCAGACCTCCCACAGTCTCCTGCTTCCAGGGAGAAAACCGCCTCCTGCTCTGGCTCTGGCTCCACCATCACCCCTCTGCATGCTTTTCCTGGCCTCCCTACTGGTTCCCTCCCACAAGCAAGGGCCCAGCGCCAGGCCCATCCAGCTGGGGCAGCAGCAGGTAGGCTGCTGGGGGAGTATAGGCAAGGCAGAGGCATTTTATAAGGTTTATGGCACTGTGGAGGAGATGGCAGGCAGGAAAGCAGCTACACAGCCTCCTCTCCCCCGTGAAATATTAAAGGCACAGCAAGAGGACAAGGCCAGAAGCAGCTGCCAGCAAGGGCACAGCGGGTCCGGCAGACACGGCACAGCACGCAAGCACCCTGGGTCTACCCATTCCTATGGCCACAGCACTCGACCTCTGCACCCTCCCTCCTCAGTCTCCTTGCTCATGCCAGACAAGCGCAGCCAGCAGTAAGATGAGAGGTTTCCCAATACTGCAGGTTTCCAACCCCAGCACAGGGGTGCAGGGCAGAAGTGCTGTTCCCAGCAGGTTATCCTCCCCCACACTCTTCCGCTTCAGCAGGTATCAGAATATGGCAAACAGGAAAGAAAGAAGCACCTGGGTCCCCTCTCCCTCTGGAAGAGGCTGATGGCAGACACCAGGGAAGGGGCACACAGGATGCCGGTCTCACCTCATGCCTGGACATGCCTGCCCCCCCTTGACGACAGGGCGACAGCCAGGGCATGGGCAGTGTCAAGCCAGCAGTCAGGCAGCTGCACAGACACCGAGTGCATGTGTTACAAACGCTTCTCACTCATATTCACACCAACCCCTGAGGCGTGGGCAGGAGCCCCAGGCTGCCTGCCTGCCAGTCACCCCTCCACATACAAGCAGCCTGTGCTCCCAGGACAGTGTACCCACCTTGCTTGCCCTAGACCTCCCGTCAGAGCTGCCCATGTGCTGGCACCCTGCTCCTTCAAGATCCCTTCTTTCTGCAGGAGCATGGCTCAGCCCAGCTGGCCTTCGCTCTCCCTGACTCAGTGAGAGTCAGGTGAGCAGTTAATGTTTAGGGAGAGCTGGCAGTGGGAGCTCCCCCATCACATCAACATGTTTCCCCCAGCCCTGCAAACACTGCAGGGAGCAGCCCTGTTTTACCACAGCACCACAGCTGCCAGCAAGGACCACGGCAGGGTCGGTGTCATAGTCTGCTGCCTCTCCTAGACCTACTGTGGGCCTGTGGAGAGGATGCTGGGGCACAACAAAACCATCTGCAGGTCACTGGACATCCCCCAGCTTCCTGCCCCTGACCACATCCCCACAGGCATCACAAGGGAACAGGTGTATCCTGACTGTCCCCAGGCAGGAGAGGAGTGATTTCACGGAGCTGCACTGCCCGTTGGCTTTACCTATCTGTCTTTCTCCCAGGTCTTGTTTCTGGGGTGGGAAGAGTAGCTATGGTTTAGCTGACCTGCTCAGCAGGAGCCCACCACGGCAGCTCCCCAGGCTCACAGGGGGAGAGAAAGGGCCCCCCAGCCGTGATGAGGGTTACGCAGCAAGACTGGAAACTGCGAAAAGGCACCACACTTTGAACTGAGGCAACTGCCGATGATCTTTCACTCTTACAAAGAGGTGGGAGGGGACAGGCTGGTTCCTTTTTCAGCAGGTCACCTTTAAAGCTTGTACCACAGCACCCATCTGACAAAGCACCTTGCAATTTGGAGTCACCTCCCTACCCCCCTCCCCACGGCTGAAACGCTGCCACCCGGGGGGCTGTGCCAGCCAGCACTGCCACACAGG